TGCCTTCCGAAAACCCATACGTCCCTCTCTTCAACCTAAATACTTCTGCAGCCCAGGTGTCCATGCCCCCCTACCACAAAGAATTAGATACATTAAAGGAAGCAGGTGGGACCGTTATTATTGAGGATTTGTTGCTGTTGAGCAAAATGATATAAATATGGAATCAGGTGTGAACATGAATATTAATTTATCTTGGATGTGAGTATCCAGATCCCATCTTTGCTTTGGCTCCTGGTGCCAGGAGTAAAGGGTCTGAGCAAAGTGTTGGGCCTTTTTATTTGTTTGTTTTGGCTTTCACATTAGGTCATTATTTCTCCTTGAGGGAACACTGGCAGGTTGCTCGCGGGTGTTATTTCCTTGATGCCACTGCATGTTCACCTACTTCTGACTTTGGTGGTAATTCCGGTGCCAATCACCAGCTTTCTATATTTATCAGCAGCTGCTTCGGTGATGTGGAAACAATTTTCTCAACAGCTGAAAACCATGAAGATGGAAAGTAGGACATTTTGTTCTGTCTAAAAGGGCTATGGAGTGAGCATGGGAGGAGTGAACATCCCAGTACAGATCTCTGGTCTGGGCATCTTTCACATCCTCCCCAGCATCATAGCAGGCTCAGGTGAAGCTCATGACTTTGTCCAGAGGAGAACGGGTGGTTGTATGGAATATACTGGAACACCTGAGGCCTGCTTTTGTTAATTTGATTTGTGCCTGAAGGATTGGGACAACGGAAGCCTAACTCCAGCCTAGACTCCCAGCCAGCTTCCCTAAGCACTCAGCTTGAGTGAGCATTTCCCTAGAAAACGTTATGAAAATCTCTTCCCTCCATGAAGCGCTAGCGAGGGCACTGAGGACAGGCAGTTGGAGACACCACTGGTGAGTTTAGAGGGGTTCTCTAGACCTTAGGGCACTTTGATAGTGTGATTGCAAAGGCTCAGTGGTACTACATGTATGAGTGCTGGTGATTCATAGAAAGACCTCTGTGTAGATGGATCCTAGTGGCCACTATTTGCAAATTGTGTCTGTTCTCTCATACCTCTGGGATGTGGGGGTACTAAGGTGCTTTTAAGAAGGCAAAGCTGAGAGTCAAGAAACTGGGTTGGCATCCTAGGTCTATGTAGAGGCAGAGAAGGGGAAAGCTTATCAAAGGACTCACCTATGCCTGCCTCGCATCATGGAAAGGGAGGCACTTACATTGAGGGATCCCTTTTCTTTCTGGGAGCAACTTAGCAGCAATTATTAGTGTTTCACAGGTGAAGGAGGAGGATTCAGAAAGAGAAGGTGACTCACTTAAGTCTCAATGACACACAAGCTCTTGTGCCTTGACTGCCCCGCCCCATCTTTCCAGCCACCTATCTCCCTAGCCTCATTGGTCATGCAAGGAAGACATCAGACAACTCTGTCAGCTTTTCTTAGCTGAAGAGTCTTCATTTGCTAAATTGCAGGGTCATCCCTAAAGTTTATTTTCTGCTTTTAAAAAGTTCTGTGGTACCATAGCTTCCTTAATAGGTAAATCTTTTCTGCCACCTAGTGGAAATTTATCTGATGAGAAAGGAAGAAAACTTCCACTCTTTCTTGGGTTAAAAACTATTTAATCATGGAGACAGCACAACTATGAAGATTTTAAAAAGTTCAGTGGTCCTTGAGGCTTGGGAGAGGGGGATACTTAGGCACAGAGTTGATTAGGGCGGTGAAACTATTCTGTGGGATGCTGTATGTATTGCGTATATAGATTCAGCTACACATAGAATATCCAACTTGACTAGACCAAGACCCAATTCCACTGTAAACTGTGAGCTCTGCGTGATGATGATATGGCAGTGTTTTTTCATCCGTTATTTAAAATGTACCACTGTAGTGGTGGCGAGCATGTGGAAACCAAACCTCCTGCTCAATTTTGCTGTGAATCTAAACCTGCTCTAAGCATAGTCTCTTAGTTTTGTTTTGTTTCATCTTGTTGTAAGTTCAGGTGGGCTGTACTGACAGGAATTAACAAAAATCTAGATGGCTCTAGCTACCTTTTCTGAACCTTGTAAGACTCAGTGGACAAGGGCTGGGGATTTAGCTCAGCGGCATAAGCACCTGCCTTGCAAGCAGGCAGTCTTGAGTTCGATCCCTGGTACCGATAAAAAAGAAAAAGACAAAAAAAAAAAAAAAAGTCTCAGTGGACTCTGGTTCATATAGTTATTCATAATATATCTGAACAAAACCAGACCTGCACTGGAACATTTGCCAATGAAAAGCAAGCTACTTTTCTCTGTCCCTGAATGTTTTCCAAATTTGAGTTCTTTGTAGTCAGTGAAAGTGGTCCTTCATGGCTACAGACATTGAAATTTTCTTGTTTTTAATAAATAAAGAATTCTTCAGGGGCTGGGGATTTAGCTCAGTGGCATAAGCACCTGCCTTGCAAGCAGGCAATCGTGAGTTCGATCCCTGGTACCGATAAAAACGAAAAAGACAAAAAAAAAAAAAAAAAAAAAAAAAAAGAATAAAGAATTCTTCAAAATTTTTGTTTAAAAAAAAAAAAAAAGGAAGGGACCTGGTGTTCTCCAAGCACCCCGCCCCAGCAACCACTGGTTAAAATTCGGTAACCTGTACCTTGGTAGCCTAGCCCTACCCTACCTCTTGCCCTGCCTGCATTGTCTGCTGCGGAACTGAAATACACTTCTATTAGACTCCGTGAGCTGTGAGGGGCAGAGTCTAGGTACCAGGTGAGCACCCTCTGACCTCATGAACTGTGACCTTTGAACACTTAACTGTTCACCCCAAAGATGAGTTTTTAGATCAGAAAAGAGTTCACATTTTCTTTGGGAATTAACAAAAACGTATTTATGAATATAGAGTAGAAATACAAGCTCACCAAAGTCTGCATAAGTTCACCAAAAAGTTGACTGTCTTCAGCTCCTATGAGCTCAGTAATTTCGCCTGACAAAGCTATTGGGCAAGAAGATGGTTCCCCAATAACAATTTTAAAGATACATAGAACTGTTTTTAAAAAATGTACCAAATCAAAACAACATATCTTAAGTCTGTACTGTGTTCCTATCCTTAATGTTGTATTTTGAACAAGTATAGCCTTCCATTTTGTTTTTTGTAGTAAAATGCTAGATGTGAGATATTCTTTATGCTTTTGATAACATATTAGGCTATATACACACCTTTTTAAAAATGCTTACTTTGTGACCATCTAATATATACTTAGCTTATGAGCTATATTTTAAGAAATTCTAATCTGTGATATGCAAAACTTACATTTTTACCTTTATACATACATAGTTAATACTTATCTTGTATGCTCATGGTTCAAAGAAAATTCAGACAATGCAAAATATGTCAAGTGAAAAATGAAGTCCTCCTCCACAGAGGGAATTAAGAATTTTTATGTTCCTATTCTGGGCACACAAAACATACATACCCTTTACTATTTTTTCCATGAATGAGCTTATGCCACAAGTACTGTTTTACAGCTTGCTTTTCACACTTGATCTATTTTGGATATCTTTCCATGTCTGCACACAAACCTACCTCATTCTTTTTAGTGGCACAGAGTATTCCATTATTGCCTGTGCTGTGATTAATTTAGCCAGTCATCAACGATAGCCAGATGGTCATTTTCAGTTCCTGTTGTTGCAGAAATGCTGCAAGGAGCACAGGCGCGCATGTGTACACACACACACCCATGAAATTTCTAGGTCTAAAAGAGTGTTCACACCCACCAACCAAGATCATCAGAAACACACGTAGAGTCCAAAGAAAAAGTCAGGCTTACTTAACGAGCTGCCCCTGGGAGAAAAGCCAGAAAATGGTGAGCCTGCTGTGTGGGTGGAGTGTAGGGAGGGTTTTCATGATTTGGGCTCATCTGGACCCCCTCAGAGAGGCCCCAGAGAGCAGGAACAGGGGTACCTTGGCTGACCTTAAGAAGTAGGAGCAGATGGGGCGCTCAGGTCTCATCAGCTTCTGTGGGAACAATGAATTAAAGTCTGGCTCCTAAGGTCTCGGTAGAAGAGGAACATTCATGGATGTGGTCAGAAGAGGGGGATGTTTAGTCACATTGTGAGCTCACAGCCACTGTGTGGCCCTGCCTGCGCACTGCTCTTTTCCATGAGTGTGTGTGTTGTGTACATAGCTGGGGACATTATGATCATATGATCTGGGAGGGCTGGCTTCTGTTTTCTTAGGTGCCTAGATTTTGAATTTTTTTAGAGGCTGAGCTTTCCACATAACTTACATCCATTGACATGCATCAGGTTTTAATAATTTACTCAACTTCTCTTATGATTTATTTAATACTCAGAAAAATAATGGCACTATAATAGCAAACATTTATAGGGCCACTTGCTGTGCTATATCCATTATCTCACTGAATCCTCCAGAGGTTGAGATGGATCTAAGTAACCTTCCTGCCTCCTCGACCAGGCTGAGAGAGGGCAAGTGACTCTCTTGGGTCACTCAGTTAAAGAATAAGGAGTGGAGCTGGGTGCGGGACAGGATAATTCCAGTGCCCATACTCTACCAGAAGGAGCACTTTCTTCTCTGTTTCTTGGGAGCCAGCCAGGAATAATTTAAAATTAAGGAATTAGAAGCATTTAACTGAGGATTAAAAATCTCTGGAAAGACTGGCTTAGGTTGATAAGCAAGTAGAGTCCCATTTAGAAAAATCAGATCCACAAGCAGCAGTCCAGGAATTGCATATGTTGTGCTGAGTAAGGCAGCCAGTGTGCTGTGCCCAGCTGCACACACAAGCCTCAGTCAACAAGGGCCTAAGAGCACTGTCTTAGAATCACAGCAGGTAAGGGACGTCTGTCCTCGTGGATCACTGGGAACAAGCAGATCCTGCACTGTGTGGAGATGTGTGCCGGGAAAGGTCCTGTGCAGGGCAAGGGAATGGAATGGAATGAAATGGTGTCTGAGTACCTGGTGATTGGGGGTAAGGGAGGCCGCGCTGTGGGGCTGGCATTAGCAAAGGGCACCTGCAGTAAGGGCTGCCTGCTGCTGTCTTCCAGACTGTGCTGGCTGCGGAAGAGACATCAAGAATGGGCAGGCACTGCTGGCGTTGGACAAGCAGTGGCACTTGGGCTGCTTCAAATGCAAGTCTTGCGGGAAGGTCCTCACTGGCGAGTACATCAGCAAGTAAGATGGCTGAGGGCACGGGAGTCCTTGCAGTGGGAATGGACCATGGTGGCTGCCCACCCACCTCGCCTGTTGAAATGCATTCACGTCCCCAAGTACTATTGCTATAAAACCTTTAAAAATTTTATTCTATTTTTGTTATAATCTGGCTGAGATACCCCTAATAAAATACTAATAATTGCCTAACTTAATAATCATTAAAGTTGACATAATTATACACCCTTTGCTGTAACCAAATAAGCATTAACTTCCCTTTTGCTGTTTTTTCCGCTATGTGAAAATAGTAAACCTTTCACCTCCAGGAGGACAATTTTTGCAGGCCCCCTCAAAATATCCAAGGTGTGGGCACTGGGCCCCATAAGCTAGTGTGTAAGACAGCCTGCCAGGGCTTCGTGAGCGAGCTAGAGCGTGCTCGTGGGTGATTGCTGGAGTTAAGTGAGCAAGCAGAGTTTGGGCAGTTTTTTGTTTTCGTTTTCAATGCACCCTGGCTGTAAAGAAGATTACCCTGTTCTACATCTATTTCTCCAAATACATGAAATCAGCTAATTTTTTTTTTCTGGTACCAGGGATTGAACTCATGACTGAGTGCTTGCAAGGCAGGCGCTTAAGCCGCTGAGCTAAATCCCCAGCCCCGAAATCACCTGTTTTTAACAGTTAATGAATTTGATTTAAATATATAGAGAGACAAACCAAAAAGGAGCTCGGGTCCCTTAGCCTAGAAACTGAACTTCATGGTAGCTCTAGGGTCAAGCCAATATTAGAAAAAAATCAATGGCTCCACCGATGACTGCAACGGCCCCCAAAGTAAGATGAAAACATGTCGCCTGTAAGCTGTGCAGTGTAGGCATCTTGGCTGTCTGGAGTGCTGCTTCCTAACTTTTCCACACTATTAACATGTGGGAAATGACATTTTTTATTGTGCTCTGAAGCAAATGGAAATCACTGAGCCAAAAACAATGCTGGAACTTCAGAGCTAAAGAGAGACTGTGTCTGGAGGCTTCCAGGAAGCTCTGTCAGGCCAGGGAGCCAAGTCCAAGAAAAGGGTATGGGCGAGAAGCCCACTGGAGCTCCTCGGGCGAATGCACACAGCCTGCATCTGAGCCAAGCTGGCCCACGTCAAAGGGGCTGATGCTGGCTTTTCCAGTAGTTAGTCCTAAGACCACCAAGGAACCAGCAGTGGTAACCATGTGGCTTTTGGGCTGATCTGTGTGTCCTGAGGACTCCTGCTCACTCTAACTGTCCCTGTGGTCTGTGGTTTTGACTGTGTCTGACCATGTCACCAGACATTTGGATGTTGGAGAAAGGAGAAATAAACTCTACTCTTCTGTGGAACAGCTCAGAGAAATCTGGTTTTGGTGTCTTCCCCCATCCACCGCTGCCTCTTCTCAGGAGCTGGCTGTTTTGTCTTGCAGGGATGGTGCCCCATACTGTGAAAAGGACTACCAGGGGCTCTTTGGAGTGAAGTGTGAAGCCTGTCACCAGTTTATCACAGGGAAAGTCTTGGAGGTAAGTGAATGATGGGCTCTCCCAAGCCACTAGACCATTTTCCTCAGAGGCCCTCAGGAACACATAAGAGGAGGCCTGTTTGTCACCAGTGAGGAAGAAAAGACTGCGAATAGTCATAGGGAGCTTGTGTCTCCAGTTTTTACCAAATGCTCGTGTGCAAATTGGAATGATGGAGAATTTGAAGGGAAAAAAGAATGACAAAGGCTATATTGGGAATTAAGTAGGGTATTTTTACTTTTAGAAGTTAGAAGAGGGCGTGTGTCCGTATGTACATATGTGTGTGATGGTTACAGACCCAGCGTGCAGAAGCTCAGAACCAGAGCTAAGAGAGGAAGAGTGAGTGAAAGGTAGAGGCGTAGACATCCCCACCCTTTGAAACCACATCCTGTGTGACCCAAAGCGTGCCGTATCTCCTGTGAAGTTCGGGGTGACTGCTGTGAGTCAAAGTTCCTGCTTTCTCAGCAGCCCTCACCGTGCCTGGCTCTGGCTCCCCTTGAGGACAAGGCTGTTGCACCAGATTCTGGGGTGAGTCCAGAGGAGTCAATGCGTCACTCTTCACAGGCCTGTGGGGTGTCAGAATCTGGAGGAAAAGTAAAGACACCTCCCACATTCCAGGGTGGAGCATGTGTGCTGAGCAGGCCAGCAGCTGGCGTGACAGTGCTGCACCAACCAGTGACTGTCGCGGGGTTGTCAGGCATCAGGGCATAAATCCACATGGCTACATCCAGATTTTCAAAGATAGTGTGTTTCAGGGACATGGGATGTTTATAGCCGAGGGGGTTCCTAAGGTGCTTCTATCCATGCCTATGGGATTTTACAAAGGACAATGTAGCCTCCTAAAGCCGACATACACTCTTCCCATGCTGGCCAATGCTGAGATCGAGTGTATAAGGAAGTGACTGTGATCAGATGCAGCTCCACTTAGCAGGGAAAGAAGGTTCTGGAAGGTGAGGAGCACCTGCAGAGGCTCAGTGACAGACAGTGTGCAGCATGTGCAAGAATGGGCAGTGGGCTGGGCAGCAGGAGAGTTGAGAAGGGGGGCTGTGGGCCACATTCCATAGGCTGGCTTTGTCCTAAGAGGGGTGGACAGCCATCAAAGTGAGGTAGTGGGAGTGTCCTGGGATTGCATCAGGCTATTGTGCAAAGCCTGATGGGAGTACTCAAGCATGTGTGTCCATGTGTTCCTAGCAATGAAGCGAGGAAGCCACGCAAGTGCCCAGAAATGAACATATGGATAAATAAAAAGTGGCACAGCCACAAGGGAGTATTTGCAGAGATGCTTGTCACAATGTGGACCAGCCTTGGAAACACACTAAGTGAGAGAGTCCAGGTAACAGGTGGGGGAACACCAGCCACTGCACTTTGAGTGTGGTTGTGGTAGGACCACTCAAACTTCAAGCCCCACAAGCAATGTGACCGTTTGTGTAGATAAACCCGTAGAAACAGAAGACAGCCCGACTGTTGCGTGTGGCTAGGGAAAAGGGAAATGGAGAATGCTTAATGGATTCAGGGTCTTTTTGGAGTGATACAGATATTTTGGAGCCAGAGAGAAGAGGTGCTTAAACACCATGGAGAATGTGCTAACTCCCACTTCATGGTCCCCTGTACAGTGGTTACTGTCAGGCCATGTAGATTTCACTGGTTGTTTGCTTAAAACACTGGGAGGGGATGAGGGTGCAGAGAGGAAGGAGAGTGGGTGGGGCCGCCTCTTGTGGGGAGGCGTATGCCGACTGGTCCTGCTCTCTTTTGATGACTAAGCCCAGCTGATTCACATGTCAGTGTGTGACACCAACCAGAGCCCACGTGTGACAAGGGCACACACACACACACACACACACACACACACACACACACACACACACAGAGTGAGGGGCAGAACTTCTCATGGCCTCTCCAGTGAGGCAGAATCCTCCTGGGGTTCTAGATAAGGTGAAACACATCCCCAGGAAAACTATTGGAGAAGGGGATGTGACCCACCAAAGGGTGTTCTGAAGTCTGAATGGTCAGGTCACAGTGCTCAGAGTGCGCTGGTTGGTGTTCCTTTGCCTGTCACCCAAGTCTCACCTCTCCCATAGAACCCCAGAGAGCGCATCCTGAGGTGCCTGACTGAGCCCCAACAGAATTTCCCCTGCAGTTCCCAAATGTGGTCTGTATATGACAGAAACAAACCTGTTGAGTTGAGAGCAATTAGAACAACAACAAAGGGCCAGGGATTTAGCTCAGTGACACAAGCGCCTGCCTGGCAAGTGCAAGCTCATGAGTTCGATCCCCAATACCACTAAAAAAAAAAAACCAAAATAATAATAACAATAAGTTTACAACAATATCAAACACTAGCACCATTTCCCAGGTAGTCAAGCAGAGGAAGAAAGGCAGGAAGATCCTGGGCACAACCCCTGAATTTGAGGTTGCAGTGTTGGCAGAAGGTACAGATTGGAACAGTGTCTCCTCAGTCTACATGTGGAAATGTGTTTCCCAAGAAGAACTGGGATGCAGAGGCCTGGATGTATGTGTCTATGTGTTGATTACCTTCAGATTTAGTTCGACAGCTTCAAGAAGAAGTAATCTAAAATGAAGCTGGATCTAAGAATATGCCATATTAAAGAAACATCTGCTTACTCTGTTTTCTCCCTCGAGGCCTAAGCAGTTCTGTGTTCACTGGGGCTGAAGATGCCTTTTCCAAAACTGGCTTCAGGTTTCAGGGAAGGCCAGTTGTGGGGTTCAAGGCTTGGCGACTTTCCGGGCAGTGCTGTCAAAGTTGGACCATCTGGGAGCAGTTTGCACATGCTCAGTCTCAGATTCAGGGTCCACCCAGGTGCTGATCTAGAACAGTGTCCCGCAGGGTCAGCACAAGGCATGTGACTACTTGTGAGTCAGCTGGGTTTGGTCATCGGGCGTAATCAGAGCTGAGTTCCACATTATCCCTTGCTCTCTGGCCTGTGGTTGGTGAACCATTCTGATTGCAGATTTGTTGTAAATCTGCAATCCTTTACTGTATCTTTTTCCACCCATAGAGATTATAAGAGAATCTGCTATAATGGAGGTGCTTTAAAACAGTAGAAGTTTGTATGCTTTCCATTCCTGAGTATAGGTATCCAAAATTAAGTTGTCAGCAGGGCTGTGCAGCCTCCAAAGGACTGGAGGAGGGGCTTCCCTGCCTTCTGCACTTCTGGTGCAGTTCCTTGAGCCACTGAATTCCAGTCCTATCTGTACCCACACATGCCACCTTTTCTATGTCATCTCCTCTGTCCATCCTTTTGCCTTTCTCATAGAAAGACATATGTAACTAGATGTAGGGCCCACTCTGATCATCCAGGATGGCCTCATTTTAAGATTGTTAGCTTGATCACATCTTCAAGGACCCTTTTCCCAAATAACTTAGTCCCAGAGATAGTTATGGGCACCCTATGGAGAGGAAGAGTTTACCATTCAACCTGCTCTGGGAAACCAGGAATTCACACATGGATTGGCCTGTGGGGATCCACAGCTCCTGTGGGGTTTTAATTTAATGCTCAATAGCATCAGAGTCCTGGTAGCACTTCTCTGGTTGTGGTTTCGCATAAGGTCCCACCAGTCACTGGAGCAGGCTTGGAGCAGGAGAAAAGGCACAGAGTGGTGATGAAGAGGGTGGTCTCCAAATGTGGCTGTGTCCAGGTGCAACTGGACCCAGGAGCTGCTGCCTGCCTGATTCCCAAATGTTTTGGGCAGGTCCTGCAGCCTCCGTGACCTGTGACTTCCTAAGCTCCATCCTGCTCTCCTCTCTGTCTTTGCTTAGTAGTTGTAGACCCACACCTCTGGCAGCCTGCAGTGGGTTTGAGGGTGTCTGCAGACCGAGTGGCCTAGTGAGAGGGCTCCAGCTGATGGGGAACCATGGATCTGCTCTTGGCTCTGGAATTCACCCATTGGGGGACCTTGGACAAGTCTCTCAATTTCTTTGAGCCTCAATTTTCCTCTCCTTAATTACAAACATTAAAAATACAGATGTAAACCCAAGACTTTGCTCCTGAAGTCTCTGGCTGGAAGGATCTGAGTTCTGTGGGTCTCTTATCTTGGATGCAAGGGGTCAGAGCCAACCGACCTATTTTGGGGGGTGGGGTACACACGAACCTGTGCTTGCCAAGTAGGCACTTGTGCTGCTGAGCTAAACCCCCAGCCCTCTATTTTTCTGGAGATGTTTTCTGCAAACTCATGTAAAGCCCAGCATATAGCAAACACTCAAATTGTGACTTTATTATCACCCTTTGCTTGCAGTTTTCTTTTCAATAGCAAGATTCTCTTTTTAGAGAACTCTTACTATAAAGAACATATCTTTAAAAGTTTCTGCTAAATTGACCAATAAATTCAGGTGTATTCTTTAGATGTTTACAACTTGCCTCCTAATTAAGATGTGCAGGAGCGAGTTAGTGTGCAGTACTGCAGTTTGCTGATCCCCTCCTGCCCCCTCCTTTAAGCACCTCTGAAACAATTCTCCTACCCTTTTTTCCTCCTCCTCCTCTTTCCTCAGCTCCCTCTGCTGTAGAAGCCTCAAGAGACTTCCAATTAGGTCACGGATGGCAGTGGCTATGGAGCATTCCTGTGGGACAGGTGTCCCATCTTCGGTGGGGGCCCGAGGAGATAGATTCCTACACCAGCAAATTTGCTTTCCTGAGAACACAGTGTTACTTGCCAGCTTCATAAAGATACAACCACAAACCAGTTCTGTGAAGACAGCACTAGAAAGGGATGGGAGGAGCAAATATCAAACTGAAAACAGAAGTCTTAAGACTAAAGGAAAAGGGTCTGTCCAGGGGTCCCTCCCCCAGAACTGAACTGCTCCAGCTGCAGACTGAGGGTGGCTTTATGGTCCTTCCCTCCCACTCTCTTGCACCATCCCCATTACCCCAGGGGCTCGGTGTTATCTGGCTCATTCTTTTGAGACAAATGTTCTCCCTCATTGTGCCCCTCACAGAGAGCTAGAGGTGCTTTTTCTGAGCAGGCAGCTGCCAGGCTGATTGCTGACA